ATAAAAACAAACAACTGTATATATACTAACAAATATTTTTAATAAAAAAAAACAAAAATAAAAAAACAAAAAAGTTCATTTATTTACAATACATCATTAAACTGCCGCTTTTCCCTAATTTCAAAGTAAAAAATATTCAAATTCATGTGTTTTTGTTGGTTTTGTTTATGCGTTTAAAAATATATATTGTAGTTGAATCAAATTGTTTGTTGTAATTATTAATTAATTAATTTTTGTTTCTGTTTTGGCAAAAATAGAAAAGTGAAAATGATAGCATTACAAACAAAACTCACCTCGCGTTGTGACCCAACAAGATGATATTTCTGCAAATACAATGGAAATATCGATACCGTTTTATACGAGTAATGAGAGGATAACACGAATATAGATAGTTTAAGACATAAAAAATTAAACGTTTTCAAAAATGTTTAATCAACAAAAATCATAAGATAGCTTTACATAGGATTTATTTCAATTAATTTCTGTTTTATGTAAAATTAATGATTTTTTACAATTTTATATTAATAATGTTTTAGGTTAAAAAAATACATGCATAATTATGTTATTAAAATAGTTATTTAAAAATAATTTGTTGGCCTTTTTTAATGCAGTAGAAAATATAATTATTATACTGAAATAAAAAAAATAGTTGTCTTATAATATTAAGGCATACATATAGGAGCGGCGTATATTTTTTAACTGACTCTAAAGATTTTAGCTGTACTGGTATTAATTTACTGAAACTGCACAAAACGGACCTTAATTAACTTATGAGGGCTCAGGCAAAGAACTGATAAAAAGGCGACAGCAGGGAAATTTTTTAAATTTTCTCTAATGGGTATAAAAGAGAGTAGATTTATACCGGTAAGGCGATGTAAAAACCACTAAGTTTTGGCTGAATAGATTTCTTTGCTCGGTCATGTTATGAGAAGAGAGAATGCTGTAACTTTTGCTGCTGTTTTTTTTTAAATTCAAGTTACAACTGAGCACGAGTTCTTAAGGTTTCTTATGTCGTAGAGATTTTTTTTTATAAAAAAGGTTCACACAACTTTCTTAGCTAAAAATTATTTTTTGTTAATGAACATTGCGGAGTAGTAGAAACTGACTTAGATTTAAATAGTTTTTAATATTTTTTGCAAAATATAATATTTGCTTATTTCACCTCTTTCATTATATTTATTTGCTTTTCAGAGATAAAATTTTTGTTATTAATTTTCTCCTAATGCGTATTTTCTTAATTTATAAAACTATTTATTTTTTTTATACCCTTGGCGAACTTAAAATATATTAATCATTTAAAATACTTTTTTATTTTAAAATATTTCTTTTTTGTATTTATTTTGTATACGTTTTTCGTTTTTTTGTTTTTCTCTTCTTACATAAATAACTCTTTTGACTAAATTTACAATAAATTAGCATATTTTTTTGTGTTTTAAAAAATCATAATTCTAAATAAAAAACTTTATTTTGTTAGTAAATAGAATAAATTTCAAAATCGCTTTCAGCTGCATGCGTTTCTTCAACACTTTGGATGGTGCTTCTGAAAAATGCCGCAAAGCAATTGGTGCAATTAACAACTCAATTCCATACCGAAAATTTTTGTATAATTTTGTGTGGGTGTGTCTTCAATGCAAAGCTTGATTTAATAGTGTTATAATTTAATAATATAAAAATTACTTCAAATGCTTAGAAGTAGCTGAGAGTTTAAAGGCAATTTTGGTATTTACTGTTGTTACTTATAAATTAATTAATATAATTACTTATTAAAGATTAGTTTTAATTAATGAACGAATTTAAGAAAATTATTAGTGTAATTAATTTTCGTATACAATATTGTGTAAGTAAATCAAAAAAGAAAAATATTTCAAATCAAAATAATAACAATTATTAATGCCTTTTAACTAAAAAATGAATTATGAATGCATGAAAATTAAGTTCGAAATTGAAACATAAGCTATATACAATTCTTAAATAATCAGAGAAAAAAAATATATTAGTCATCTTAAGACTAAGCGTGTTAAGAGAAAGGCAGGGACTTGAAAATGAGTTGCCAGAAATATATTAAAGTCAAATC